GCATCTTGATTTACGCGGTGACTGTTCAATGCGTAAAGGAGCACTGCGTGCTTTTTTGAAAAAAAAAAAATCCGCTCTAAGTCACGGATTGAATGGTTTAGATTTGTGATAACAATGTGCTGATGAGCTGCGGTTCCTAAAAAAATGAACCGCGGATCATCATCTCACTTTATTGAATCGACTCTTTAGAACAGCTCGGGAGCGGATCGACCATCTCTAGTCTTAACAAGAATAAATAACTCACCAAGCAAAATCAAAGTCAGCACAGCTTGACTTGCCAAAAACAATTGAGCGAACGATTTTTGGGACAGGTCTTGTGAGAGTTTTCACCATTTCGCACGGTGACATGAAAGTCCCAGCTAATGAGAATAAATTTACCCATTTTGAAGAAAAGTGCGCACGCGTTTTAGCGTGTGGCTTAACACATTACATTAGTAAAAGTGGATTTACTCATTAATAAGTATTCGACGAATACTTAAAAAAAAAAAACATGGGTACATTTTAATCTGCATGTTTTTATCTCGACAGACTATAAAAGATTTTTAATACAGCAATGAGCGGAATTACTTACCAGAAATGTTTTACACTTTAAAATGCTGCATTTAAACTAAATAGATTGTTCATTGCCGTTATAGAGCCATTATAAATCAGAGTGGATGCCAAGTAGCTGCTGAATTGTTACTTGGGGGGTCAAAATGGTTGGAAATGGTTTTTGGCCTTTTTTTATAACGCGTTTATTTTTCTAGGCTCATTTGCTGTAGCTTTGCGGAGCCGATATTCACTGTTAAGATAGTAAAATTATTTAAAACTAATGTTAGTAAAGCAGGGGCCGATTAATCGCGGCTATCTCGAGGTTAGGGGTAACAAATTGTAACAAATGGATGGCAGGGTAGGGATTGAGAAGACAAGGTTTGGAGAGCAATGTGCTCTTGATCTCGAACTAAGCAACTCTCCGATGAAAAAGACAAACATGGGGGTACACCGATGGGCAGCTAACAACTTGGAAGAACACAAGATGACACTAACTACTAGATCCTCAAATCTATCCGTTTTAAAAACACATAAATTAAATTCAAATAGTGTATCGCGGGTTGTTTTCCTCGGGCCCTGAGGGATGTGGATAACTCAGATCTGGCAACACGGTGTAAGGTACATGACCAAACAACATGCTCGATATCGGGATAACCACTGCCACACGCACATAAATTGCTGCCTGAGAACCCAATTCGATAGAAGTGCGAGTCTAACGAGCAGTGATTGGACATAAGCCTTGATATAACGCGTATAAAGTCACGGCTCTTGTCCAACTCTTTGAACCATGGTTTGTTCGACACCTGTGGGAGAATAGAGTGTAACCATCTTCCCAATTCACCATCATTCCATTTTTGTTGCCAACTGATGAGGACTTGCTAACGAGCAATGAAGAAAAATTCGTTGAAGGCGATTTGTCGCTCAAAAACATTGCCTTCCATAGCAATGAGCAATGAGATGAGACCCAAGCTAAGGTGATAGTATAGGAGCAGTTGGATCAGATCTTCCTTGGCTCCCAACCAAGTTCCGGTAATTAAACGAAGAAAATTAATCCTTTGCTGGCATTTTTGTTTCAGATACGCAATGACTGTGCAGGATGATGCTTCCTAGAAAAAAAAACAACCAACTCAGTTTTCTACGGAGAGAATTCGATACCCAGCTTCATAGCCCAAGTAGACAAATTGTCTAGGGTATCTTGCAATGGTCCTTGCACGTCCGGTGCACTTGGCCCAGTGACAGAAACAACGCCATCATCTGCAAGTTGCCTTAGCGAGAGATTTTCATCAAGACAACCATCAATGCCTTTTACATAAAAATTATAAAGAAGGGGGCTTAAACATGAGCCCTGGGGAAACCCATGTAACTAATTCGTGAAGTTGTCGAGTTTCCATGAGAGAAGCTCATATATTTCTCAGACAACAAGTTGCTCAAATAGTTGTTCATAATTGGTGAAAGCCCACTATCGTGGAGTTTATCCGAAAGGACATCGATACAAACAGAATCAAAAGCCCCCTTAATGTCCAAGAAAACTGAACCTATTTGCTGTATTTACCCATAGGCCAGTTGAATTTCAGTCGAAAGCAACGCAAGACAGTCGCTCGTTCCTTTGCCTCTCCGAAATCCAAATTGCGTATCTGAAAGTAAACCTTTCGACTCGACCAAAAGAATCATTTTCTCCAACAATTTCCGTAAACAGGGCAGCATCGTGATGGGACGTTACGAGTTATAATCCGACGTGGGTTTACCGGGTTTTCGGATGGCGATAACTCTTACTTGCCTCCAGTCATCCGGGACAATGTTGTGCTCCTGAAATTGATTGAATAAGTTCATTAAGCGTCTCTTCGCGACGTCTGGGAGATTTTTAAGCAAGTTGAACTTGATTCTATCAATTCCTGGAGCTGATTTTTTACATGAGAGGAGAGCAAGTGAGAATTCCACCATCGAAAACGGGGAATCTATTTCGTTACTACCCGACAAACGATCACGAACGTTGGTTTGAACCGACACCGAATCCGGGCACACTTTCCGCACGAAGCTGAAAATCTTTCTGTCCGAGTATTCCTTGTCTTCATTAACCGGTGATGACGCGTTTCGCATTCTCCTGCCGACATTCCAGAGTGTTCTCATGGAAGTCTCTAGCGACAAACCATCGACGAACCGACGCCAGTAACGGCGTTTTTTGGCTTAAGTCAAGTCCTTAAAAGTTTTCTCGAGGTTGGTGTACCGCTCGAAATCCTCGACCTTACCGTGTTTGCGGAAGCGTTTAAATGCGGCGGACTTCTCGCTGTTCGCGTCGGTGCAATCCTTATCCCACCACGGGGTGGGAGGTCGCTTGCGGACGGAAACACCCGGAACACGTTTCGTCTGTGCTCGCAGCGCACAATCTATGATGAAACGCGCGAGAAAGGAGTACTCGTCCAGCGGAGGAAGTACGTCGACCGATTGACTGGCTTCAAGAACCGCGGTCGCGAATTTTCGCCAGTCAATGTTTTTCGTAAGATCGTACGCGATGTCGACCGAGCGAGTAGAAGATGAACCATTGGTAATAGAAATTTTGATTGGCAAATGGTCACTACCGTAGGGATCTTGAATTACTTTCCACGAGCAATCCAACGATAGTGAACTCAAACAAAGTGTTGTCATTAATGTTGTCAATATTTATGTATTGATAATATTGTAAGGAAAATTGACAATACGATGATTGTCAATTTATTGACATGTGTAATGGGCGCTTAATGTATTGCCATTAATGTTGTCAATATTCGTATATTGATGATATTGATCGCGAAATTGGTGGTTTTTTGTCAATACATTCTGAGTACTGAAAAAGTGAAATTAAAATCAGCTTTTCGTCGATTGATATCACCTTTTCAATAAAATTGTCAGTATGTCAATTTATTGTCAATATATTGATAAGTGTAATATGCACTTGAGAGTTAAAATCTTCCAAGATCAACCGTGGCTCCATCATAGCCGTGCAGATATCCGGGAAACTTTGACGAGAAATCGCAATTCTCGGTGGAAGATATACTGAGACAATACTGAGGCATTTACCTCGAATGTTAACCTGACATGCAACAACTACAATGCCTGTCACCGAAAGCAGATCGATTCTGTAGAAGGAATGGAGCTTGTTGATCCCCAGAAGCACCCCTCCATACGAATCTGCGCTGTCAAGGCGAATAATGTTGAAATCGAGGAAAGCAAGTTGTCAGAAGATAGCCATGTTTCACAAAGGGCAAATGCATCAGAGAGTGAGTTGTAAACTAAAAATTTAAATGCGTCAAATTTTGGTATAAGATTTCTACAGTTCCACTGAAATCATATCCCCGACCTTATTCGGAGAATCTTCCATCAAAGGATATGATCGATGCAAGGAAGGACCGCCTAGAAGCTTGTTGCTTTAAAAGAGTTTTCACCATTGGCAGCATTAAATTAATAATGCTCGTCGTTGAGTCAGAGATATTGAATTACTGAAGAAGCTATCCACAATACCAGAAAACGTGAACATGTTCTTGCTGATTATTCAGCTGATTTTTTGGCCGAAAAACTGGGCCATCTGGGGTTTTAGATGATCCTGGAAGTGACGGAAAGTTCTTGTCATAATTACAAGGTTTAAAACCCGGTGGAATGCTGTGGTGGAATATCTAGGTGGGTCAAAATGGTTGGAAATGGTTTTTGGCCTTGATATTGATCGAGAGAAACGATTTGTGATCATTTAAAAACCATATCGGAAATTTGTCCGTGTTTTGTATGGAGTCGTCCCACTGTCGGAACATGGAGAGGCTAAATACGAATAAGAAGCGCTCGTAGTGCGATAACTCAATTTCGTATGCTTTTTCTGCTGAACGGGAATTGGAGAAAATTGGGGCAAATGTGTGCGTCGTTTGACAATGTTATAAATAAAATGCTTACAAAAAAAGAAGATAAAAAATAATTGCATCGTCAGCAAGGTCAACTTACATATATAATTTGCTGCGGAGGACGATAGGATGTACAACTAACATTCAATGTAATACATTTTTGGTTTGCGTGTACAACTTAAAACATAAACTGTAAACTCGGCATCTGTTATAAATAATGTCCAGAAAAATCAGAATAAAACATGAAATTTTAAAACAGAAATTCAGTTACCACCCTACGCTAGCTACGCCACTGCCCCCTTTTCTAGCAACCTTTATTTTCGTCCTTTTCCGAACCCGATGCTCAGAGGGTGCCAATCGAGGTGCGGTGGAAAGACACATCTGCTTCACCTGAATCAATAGGCGATATCATCTCGATGCCATCCTCCGGGGGCGTCAACAGATGGCCATGATTCGATTTGGCTCCATTCTGTACGACAGGTAGGGAAAATTTACGACACTCGAAGGGAAGCGTTTCTCGGAAATTTTTTAAAACGATTATTCCCAAAGTTCCCCGGATCTCTAATCGCTCCGACATGATGGTTGCCCTAATTTGAAAATCGAATCATGCGTCGGCTCAGTTGGCGCGCGTCTAATTACCACATCGCAACTAAAACCATTCCACGTTTCTCGTTTCTTTTCCGCAGATTGCGACTGTGCCAAAATCACTCGACTCTCGGTGCCCCGGGCGTACATTCTCGATAATTACCACCGGGAGCTCGGCGACAGCAACGAACTGTTCGGCGGCGGAGGTGGCCGCAACCGGGCCGTGTACCGGTACGAGGAAGTCGGAGGCAGTGTGAACCGACCGCCGCCACCGCCTTCGAGGGATCCGGACGGAAGACGTCACAACGAGCATCTGATACTGGACTGCGAGTACGAGATCGATCCGGACGAGAAGGGATTCGTGCTCAAATGGCTGTACAACGGGAGACCCATCTATCAGTGGATTCCGCCGGTGCGTTCCCCGCACGGATTCAAGGCCACCGGTCAGCACATCAATCTGACGTACAGCATCAGCGACGAACCGATGCACAAACATCGGGCCCTGGCCTTGATTAGGCCGTTGAAGAACTTTACCGGCGAATACACGTGCTCGGTTTCGACCTTCCATAGTGAGGAAATGCAGTCCGCGCGGATGGTGATGATTGGTGAGTGGAATTTTTTTTTCTTTTCTAATCGATTCGTTGTGACAGTTTATATTTTGTGGGAGCTTCCGAATGACTTTGGAACTAGCTTTAAATAAGGTGGCTATATTTATAGTCTGGCGGATACAATTTCGATCTGTCAAGAAGAAGGAACCAATTTAATATATTGGAGACCAATAACTGAAAAGCTACGATCATCTTTTATAAACAATGCTTTGATAGTTCTTTCATCGCCAACCGAACGCAAATTAACAGCATCTTCGGCCTTGGTTTGCGGTTTTCGAAGTTTTGTTCAGAAAGCTGATATGCTCTTTTCTGATGTTGGTCGTGATATGCTCGATTGGCTCCGCTATTTGACTGCTTAATTGGTTCCCGAGATTCTATCCACGTGACTATTGTGACTATAACTTTAAAGACATATCATAAAAGTTGCCTTGCAGCCTTACTGATTCCCTTAATTTGGATTATCGCTAAGACTGTGCTGCAATTAAAGAGTGACATTTAACTAAAGTGGGCAGATAAAAATTTAACGAACGGTTCATTTTCGGTGGTTTTGTAAATTTTTACGATTTTATAGATACAGTCAAGATTCTTAAATTACGGTTAATAGGGACCACACAATTGGAACCGGCATTAACGAATACACGTAGCATATGAGATCCCAAGTAACATTGCAAGTTTTATCGAGGTTTTAAAGAACTCTTCAACCCTAAACCATGGGCTCCAAGAGCGTTATAAAACCAAAATTGTTGCTTGGGATTAAAGCTATTTGGAGACGACCGCTTATTGTAGGGTAATCTGAAGAGATAACTTCCTGGTGTCTTCTAAACATTTATTAAAAAGATAAATGACCTCCTTTTGAGACAACTTTGCATCCGGAAAGTCAGAAGTCTGGTCATCTGGAAGATTCGGAACATCCTAAAAGTGGTCAATTTATGAAACTGATTCTAGAGCTCAGGGGTTTTTTTTTTTCCAAAACCACTCATAGACGTCTTATCACAATTAATTCTGAGTTATGACCTTAATTTGCACTCTGGAGACTACAAGATGATCCACCGAAAGATCCGGAACATTCGTTATAGTGGCCAATTCATGATCCTATAGCTCCGCAGATTTGAAACCACTCATAGACGTCTTCTCAGAATTAATTCGGAGTTGTGACCGGAATATGAAACCTTAGGACCACGGGATGGCATACCGGTAGATCCGAAACATGCGTAGAAGTGGTCAATTCATGAAACTGATACTAGAGCTCCATAGTTATTTTTTTTTTAAACCACTCATTAACGTTTTATCAGCAAGAATTCGAAGTTGTGATCGAAATATGGACCATGGAGATCACGTAATGATCGACCTAAAGATCTGGAAAATTAAATAAACTGATCCTATAGCTCCGCGGTTTTTTATAAACCACACATAGACGTTTAATCAGCATTAATTCGAAATTGTGACCGGAATACGAACCCTGGGAACTACGAAATGGCTCACCGGTTGATCCGGAACACCCGTAAAAGTTATCAATTCATGAAATTGATCCTAGAGCTCCTCGTTTTTTCAAAACCACTCATAGACGTCTTATCAGAATGAATTCGAAGTTGTGACTAGAATATAGACCATGGTACATCCGTAAAAGGATTATTGATTGATTTATCTTTATTAAGGAGGCTTTCAGCCTGAGGCTGGTTTGCCTCCAAAGATCCGTAAAAGGAGTAAATCAATGAAACTGATCCTAAACATCCGGAGATTTTTTTTTCGAAACCGCTCATAAAACTCTTATCATAATTAATGTGAAGTTATGGCCGGAATTTGGTCACCGGAAGATCCGGAACATCCGTAAAAGTGGTAAATCAGTTTCATTAATCATCCTAGAGCTTCAAAACAACTAATTGAAATCTTATCAATATAAATTCTGATTAGTGACCGGAAAATTTACCCTTGGGCCCTTGGAATGGTCCTCTAGAGGATCCAAATCATCCCTAAATGAGGTGAATTCACGAAACTGATCCTAGAGCTCTTCTGATTTTTTGAAATCACTCATAGATGTCTCATCAGAATAAAATGGCTGGAAAATGGACGCTTGGGACTACAAGATGGATCACCAGGAAGATCCGGAATATCCATAAAATTGTTCAATCTAATCTAATTTAATCTAATCTAATCTAACACCAGCAAAGCCAGTTCTTGAAAACATCCTGAAAATGATATGTATACCTACATCATTTTTCTTGTCTATTTGATAAATGTTTCACATCGAAGATGCGTCACACATATCAAAACGGCCAGGCCTACTGTACACCATTTAAGGGGCAAGATGATTCAGGTAACATCGGGCCTGTTTAAATCGAAGATTTAAACTCGATGCTGCAGAATTCAATAAATGGATGAAACGTGGACAACTCGTACCGTACGATTCGATTTTGGTAATTATATGATTCGTTGGTCGTTGGAAGCATCAAAGCTAGAAAGGTTAAGTGATGCTCCATTTTCTTGATGAGCATTAACTCTTGTCCTAGCCTTTTATGACTTATGGCTATAGCGCTATCACTCACTTTCTGAAAAGAGAAACGTGAAAGAAAAAGGAGAAGGACAAACGAAAAAGGATTAAGTGAAATCTATGAACATAAACAATATTTTTGATCCTTTAAATTTGTCGATCTTCTTAACGGAATCCTTTTATGAAGAGCTTTTATTTGGTTTTTTTATTTCCTTTAAATTCCGTTATAATTGCTTATATTTTGACAGATACGCGTATTTCGTTCTAGTTTCCAAGGCGAAGATACACTCCGCAGGATATTAATGTTATCCTAGACGTAGCAGAAAGTTAAGAAATATTTAAACATAATCCAACAAAATTACTTAATAGAGATCAAGGAAACGGATACTCGATACTCTTTAGCATACTACCTTAAACCACACATCGTAACATACATCTACCTGTTGGAGACTAAATTTAGGTACCTGGTTAGGCTAATTGTGACATGGCAGTGGATACCTGCTGATTTTTAGTACCTATTGATTAGTATTTAACTCGTAACTAAATGATGGAACCTTCAGTGGTGTTGAGTACTTGGCACTGATGAAGTCTGCAAGTAGTAGACGAAATACGCGTATCTGTCAAAAGATAAGCAATTATAACGGAATATTTTTGATTAGAAATATACAACATAGAAATGCATAACGGCGCGGTGGTTTTGTCACTATTATCAAGTCATAAAAAGTAACAAGGACTAAAATGTGATCCTTTGATTACTGGAAAATCCTGATTCCCTAGTTTGAAGTTGTCACGACTAAGGTTCGGTGGTAGATCTTATAACAGTAACGCACCACAAAAAGGTGACTTCCTAACGTTACTGGTTTGAAAAGATACAAATTTACAAAATGGAACAAACTCACCAAGTTTAGCCAATTGAACCTGAAGGCTGCCTGACATGTGTTGATGTAGAAGTCCAAATTGTAGACGAAGCTTGACGAAGATCAACATGAACTAGTCTGGTCTATGGTAGTTGTGCGGAATGTCTTCCGTCGATTTGAGATAAACAAATGTTCGGATGTAGGGTAGAGTGCTACTTCGTCGTAATCGAAGTAGAAACATCAATAATCTAAATGGTTTTACCGTACACAAATCAAAAATACGTTTATTTTAATGCGTTAGCTCGTAAGCTTTAAAACAAAGCCTAAACTCGCGCGTTGTATGAACATTGACACTCATTCTTCTCAAAACAAAAGAAGTCCTCCTAGCGAATCCATTTTATCTACCTTCATTCGTAGAACGAAGAAAAACCTAGAAAAACCAATGGCATTTCAATACGGTAGGACGGAATTGAAACTCATAGAACGAATTTGGAATCAAGAAGTTGTGTTAGATTTCTAACAATATCTCAATAATGTGTGACTCTTTATTAAATTCAACGGTACGTACACTACCAATCATAAGTTTAAGGACACCCCCAAAAAACCATGCAAATATGTTTTGTTCAATGATGTCTCATTTCACGTTCAATTTTCGATCTCCAAAGGTTATTTGAATGGTATGAATGGTATAGCATAAGTGTTCTACTACTACTTTTATTTCAAAATTTGGCCAACCCAATTCTGAGAAAATCAGTCCCGATTCTTCAGAGTAAATTTTGAAAAATATTGTAACTTTGAGTGAACTTTTAGCACACAAAATTTTGAAAATTATATTGAACCTAGAATGAGGAACTAGAAATTGTCTCCTGGGGCTGGTTATGGACAGATCAGCCACCGATTATTGATAAAAAAAACTCCACAGAAAACGTCGAAAACTTTTTTTTTTCTGTGGGGTGTTTTATAATCTACAATCGGTGGCTGATCTGTCCATAACCAGGCCCAGGAGACAATTTCTAGTTCCTCATTCTAGGTCCCTATTATTTACCGCTGAGAAGCTGTTCCGAAGCCAAGTAGAACCTCCACGAGGCGTCCCATCATTCATCCCAACAATAGTTCAAACATTCGTTGAGTTAAAGCGTTGAACCTGACTAAAGGGTGATACGGTCAAAATTTGGTCAATATCAACTTGACGTATTTCTTTAAATTTTGCATTTAAAAAACCTGAACACCCCTCATTTTGAAGGTGTGTGTGTGTGTAGAATGTTGCTCCTATTTTGATTTTGGAATTCACTCTTCAGTTGTCAAAATGCCGTCCAAGCAAGAAGAGCAGCGTATCAAAATTTTGCTCGCGCATCGCGAAAATCCGAGCTACTCGCACGCAAAGTTGGCAAAATCGTTAAAAGTTGCCAAATCAACCGTTACAAATGTAATTAAAGTGTTTGGGGAACGTTTGTCGACAGCCAGGAAGTCTGGATCGGGGGAAAATCGAAAACCGGAAGCCGCTGAGACGACAAAGAGAGTTGCCGGTAGTTTCAAGCGAAACTCTAACCTCTCTCTCCGAGATGCCGCAAATAAGCTGGGTGTATCGTCTACAACCGTGCATCGAGCCAAAAAACGAGCCGGACTATCGACTTACAAGAAGGTAGTGACTCCAAATCGCGATGATAAACAAAATACGACGGCCAAAGCGCGATCCCGGAGGCTGTACACGACGATGCTGACGAAGTTTGACTGCGTGGTAATGGACGACGAAACCTACGTCAAAGCCGACTACAAGCAGCTTCCGGGACAGGAGTTTTATACGGCAAAAGGAAGGGGAAAGGTAGCAGATGTTTTCAAGCACATGAAACTGTCAAAGTTCGCAAAGAAATATCTGGTTTGGCAAGCCATCTGTACCTGTGGCTTGAAAAGCAGCATTTTCATAGCTTCCGGGACTGTCAACCAAGAAATTTTCGTAAAAGAGTGTTTGAATAAACGTCTGCTGCCTTTCCTGAAGAAACACGGTTGTTCCGTACTGTTTTGGCCGGATTTGGCATCTTGCCATTACGGTAAAAAGGCCATGGAGTGGTACGCCGCCAACAACGTGCAGGTGGTTCCCAAGGACAAGAACCCTCCCAACACGCCAGAGCTCCGCCCAATTGAGAAATACTGGGCTATTGTCAAGCGGAACCTAAAGAAGACCAAAAAAACTGCTAAGGGCGAGCAGCAGTTCAAGGCAAACTGGCTTTCTGCGGCGAAGAAGGTGGACAAGGTGGCTGTACAAAATCTGATGGCAGGGGTCAAGCGTAAGGCCCGGCAATTCGGATTTGGAAAAGCGGAAGCCTAACTGAATATTTTTCCTGAATTTTATACTAATTGAACTTGAAAAAGAAATTTAATTTGATTTTTTAAATAAACGATTTCACCGATTTACACGCGTTTTCCCTTAACCAAATTTTGACCGTATCACCCTTTAGACGTTATCGCGGTTCCAAAAATATCCATATTGATGGGTATTTGACAGTATTTCTAACTTTTTCTGAAATCGGAAGCCGCCATATTGGATTGAAAATGGCGTCGAACATCGATTTTTATTCGCTAGTCGTCATCCCGATTCCAAGAATACCCATATTGATGGGTAATTTACTGTATTTTCCACTTTTTCTGAAATCGGGAATCGCCATATTAGATTTTAAAATGGAGTGGCATATCGATTTTCGATCTTAAGACGTCACTCCGACTTCAAAAATATCCATATCAACAAGATTTTGACAGTATTGCACACCAGTCTGCTACCGGAAGCCACCCTCTTGGATTTCAAAATGGCGTCGGTCATAAATTTCCGACCTCTAGACGTCATCCCGAATCCAGAAATACTCATATTCTGCCATAGAATTCCATAGCAAACCGATGCAGTGGTTCTCAGAAATTCGTAAAAAATTGTATGCTTGTTCCCTATCGCAAAATATTAGACCTGTATTTATTTTTCGTAATTAGGGTGACCATTTACATGTTAGGGTGGTACAAAAAATCGATTTTTTTTCAAAAATTACTTTTATAACTTTTGAACCACTGGGTCGATTTTAAAGATCAAAATATCATATGAATGGAACAATATACTTTTTAGGAAAAATATAATGATATTAAAAAAATGAGATATTGTATTGAAAAACATTGATTGTATTTGATTTGTTTGGTTTTTATGGTTTGTAGATAGAGTTTTATGTTTTTATATTTTTCCTTAAAAATATTGGCATTTTTGAAAAAGAATCGATTTTTTGGACCATTCTAACATGGAAATAGTCACCCTAATTACAAAATGAAAAAAAAAAACGCAAACAGGTCTATACACTGTTCCAGAAAGTATAAGCACACTTTTAAAATAACAAAAAAGTCATGTTTTTTTTAAGTTTTAATATTTTTATTTGCCAAATCAGATTTGTATTTGTATTTCAAATGATATTTTACTCTCGTTTAATCAACATATTTAATCATAGCCAAGACTCCTAACTTTTCCTCGAACATGACCCATTAGCTTCTGCACAGTGGTACTTCCCACCATTTTGACCACTTTTGGCCAATCTTTTTTGAATTTTTGGATGTCGTCCGCTGGTTTTATTAATTTTCGAAGCTTTGCTTTGGTTAAAGCCCAAAAAGTCTCGATTGGCCGTGCCTCCGGGCAGTTCGGCGGATTCATGTCTTTTGGCACGAAACATACATTTTGACTTTTGTACCATTCTTAAGTGTCCTTTATCATCGGCAACAATCGCTTCTGGAGACATTCCTTAACGCATTTCTGAGTGTTCATCGTCTCCGTTGTGATGTACGGACTAGATGTTTTACCACACTTGCATATTGCCTGCCAAACTATAACCTTCTTACCGAATTTTTCGGTAAAAATTGCCTTCTCCGTTTCGGGGATGTCCTTGCCTTCGCTTACAGTATAGAATTGTCGTCCGGGAAGCGTTTTGTAATCTAGTTTCACGTAAGTTTCGTCGTCCATTATTATACACCCAGAATTTCGACACAATAACGAATCGTTGAGTTTGCGGTCCCGTGGTTTCACGGACGTGGCCTGTTTTGGGTCCTTTTGGGTTTTTTTTCTGCTTCCGGTATGTTTTTAGCCCAAGTCTTTCTTTGGCACGCATGACGTTACTCGACGAGGTCCCTAGTTTTTTCGCAACATCCCGAACGGAAGTCGCTGGTTTTCGTTTGGAGGCATCCCTGATCTTTTTATCTATATCCGGACTTACAGGACCGGATTTCCGGCCCCTCTTCGGCGCATCTTCAAACGTACACTGTTCTCTATATTTTTTAATCGCAGTTCGTACCGCTCCGACGCTAACACCCTCTTCCTTGGCCAATTTTCTCAAGGAGAGTCCGCTCACAGTGCACCATTTGTGCACGATACTTTTTCGTTGTTCCGGAGTAAGACCACGCATTTTGACAGGAAACACAAAACTGAGCACTTTTTTGATGCTATGTTATTCAGAAATGAGCAAACAAAAGGACGCAGCCAAAACATGTTGAAATATTTCATTATATTCAAAGTGACCGTTAAAATAAGGTGTGCTTATACTTTCTGGAACAGTCGTTAATATTTTGCGATTAAGAACAAACCTACCAATTTTTACGAAATTCTGAGAACCACTATATCGTTTTACTAAAAATGGGTACATATTTGATATCGAACATCCCTATTCTAAGCACAAACTGTTCGGAGTCTATCCGGATAGGAAAATTATGGATAATCCAAGTTCATCTTAAAAATTATCAGGATAGAGAAAAATGTGGACAGGGAAAGACTCCGCTTATTTCTATAGGTCTATCCGGATAATGTTGAAGCCTGATCACCACCCGACTTTGTCGAAGATCTACTAGAATGCACACAATGTGTTCAAAATTAAACTTCCATGATTGCCTCTCATATGACAACCATCCTGCATTGTTTCAGTTCCGGAAACCAACTTCGTGCTGCGCTACTACAGCAGCAACATCAGCAACCTGGTGACGGTCATCTGCAGCGTGTACGGAATCTTCCCGGCACCGGAGCTGTCGCTGTGGATCAACGAATACCGGCTGGAGAATGCCACCGAAAATCTTCTCCTGACCCAGTCGGACCTATACGACAGCTCCATTCGCATCCAACTGGTCCTGTATGAACGGATCCAGCAGGACGACGTCATCAAATGCACCCTAGGTGTGAAAGACACCGAGTACAGCAAAACCAAGGAAACTGTATTCATCGGTAAGTTTTCGGAATCAATTCCCGCTTTTTCATGCTTCTAAATAACAAATTGTCACACCACCCTAGATGTAAACAGTGATCCGGTAATGGAGCACAACTCCGTCTTTGACCCCGTCAGCTCAACCACCCGAGAACCAACGAGTTCGACAGCCGAAAGCAATTCAAGCTCAAGCACAAGTTCGACTGCACCCAGTTCAACTACAAACTACGATTCGCCGACAACGCCGCCTCCGTCGCCGTCTTCATCCTCTTCCTCCTCCTCCTCCAGCACATCAACCAGTAGACTGTCCAACGAAGTCTACAAGGAAGCCGACGCAGTCAAGCATCCTTCGATGGTGACGGTGGTGGCGCCAACGGCCCGAGTAGTTCATCACCACTTTGCCCCTTCTCTGCAACCGGCGGTCGTTCGGTTGAAACCGACGCCTCCGCGAATCTTCACGGCCGGTGAACAACCCAGTGGCCTGGATTCCGATGAAGTGACCAATGTCGTCAACTTCAAGGAAGTCTTTAATGAGAACATGCTCTACAGCAGCGGTGGCAGCAGCAGCAGCAGAGGTGAGTTTGACTTTCCATTAGCTCGCCGGCGGCACGTGCAGCACGTGTGACTGGATTAATTTCCGGAAGTCACGAAACGGCATTCAGATCACATACGACAGGGCTTTCGGTAATAATGGAACCGGGTAAGATGATCGCATTCAATTTCTCCTTGGTGCGGGGGGAAGTTGAGCGAGAAACTTTTCGCTTCCCATTATCAAGCTCATCATCATCATCATCATCATCATCTTCACTACCACCATCATCGTCGAGGGGGCCACCGAAGCAAGCGTGTGGCACCAGTGCAGAAGTAGTCGAAGCATATGATGGGGGAAGTTTTTCCTCCTCAAGTCGACTCCGGTCCTGTGTGAAAAAGGAAATTCGAAGAAGCCGGTTGCGAAAAACATAAAGTCAGTTAATTTAGTTTCCGGAAAGCAGCGGGAAACTTTGCTCCCCACCCTTGCCAGGCTTAGAGTAGAGCACCTAGTAGAGTTTGGCAATTAGTTTTGCAGATGGGAATTTATTAATTCCGGACAAGATGCAAGATATCCGATGAGGCTCTAGAAGTTTAAAAATCAGTTTTTTTATTTATCATTCATTATTTTCTAAATGCTTGGATCACATTATCAAGGATAAAAATGGGGTTTTCCATCGGTAGTTTTATTGATTTTAATAAAATTTCAATCACTGTCCAATATATTAAACTTATCATAAACTGATTGCCAAATCTTACTTAAAATAGGATTGAAATATTTTCTATCAACAATAAAAATTAAAACTGGGGTCATGTTTACATTCAAATCAGCTTCAAAAGATACAGGATCTTCTAGTTTTGCTGATTTGTATACATTGGAAGTAATATTTTTAATTTGTTAACGTTTTGAGAGTCTTAGTGGAATACATGTATAAAGAGAGAGAGAGATGTAGCTCAATTAATTGAAAGCTTTTTTTTCCTTTTTTACTTAATTTGATTTTCGTCGATTTTGTTTTCTGTACTGAGTACCAATGCAACCGACGCCAGGGAGACAGCTCCCACACCTGGACCCTGCCTATCGACCCATCAACTCATGGACCGGGGACCAACTGTTTTACTTCCCGTCCAAAGGAAGGCATGATCAGAGATTTTATGCCTCAGAAAATCCCGGCTGGTGCAGACTGGGATTGAACTCAGGCCTTCTGGGAGGCAATCACGCTTAACTCTACACCACCGGAGACGCTAATTAATTGAAAGCTTATGTCCATTCTTTTAACCCTTTGTATCCCTATGTCTGTATCTTGAGGTCAATATGACCCCAGGCAATTTTTGCAATCTTGATTATTCATCAAAATGATTTTTTTCCCTGACATTTTTGCATGCTAAACTCTTCTTGATATGCCTGCCTTTTACTTAAGAAATATTTCGAATATCCCGTTTTTCCGTTTTCAAGGATTTTCGCAAAGAACTTAGCTTTATTTTAGAAGCACAGACAGAGGGTTAAAGACCCGCAAATAGTGACATACTTATGGTATGTATGGTACACAGATAAAAAATCTGAATTTTAATTGTGATGTAAACATTCATTCACGTAAACTTGTATTTCATCTCACACAACCGAGCAACTTGCAAACAATGTTGTTTACAAAGATGGGCTTTTGCATACAATATTTACTACTTTGCATGAAATGTGTCAGAAATTTACATGATATATAATGTAAACGTATATGATATGTGACGCTCCATTTATGGGCATCATATTGAACAGAAATTTACACTACTTTTTCGAACTGTGTAGGTGCTTCAGTTACTACAGTCACTTACCAGCTTTAATTGTTATAATATAAATCTAATTGTTTTTACATTGTTCCTGCCTTGGCAATTCAGTATTTTAATTTGAACCTGCATGTCAGTATAGCAATTGAAATCTTAAAACTAAAAACGAAAACTAAATCTTATCTAAATATAAAGAGAATTAATCGTTGCAATTGAGGATTGCAACGATTTTTGCCTGAAATTATTAATTATTTTGTTGGTCATTTGTTCTAAAGTCTCAACATTCGAAATTCTATGTACTTCGGTAGTACTGTACCAGGGAGGCAACTTCAAAAGCATCTTCAGAACTTTGTTCTGAATCCTTTGAAGTGATTTTTTCCTGATAGTCCAACAACTAGACCATATTGGCACAGTGTAAAGCATGGCAGGTCTAAAAACTTGTTTAAATATTAGAAGTCAGGCAAAGCTTGGATTTCCTATTTATAAGAGGATACAAACATTTTATATATTTGTTACATTTGGCTTGAATGCCCTCAATGTGGTCTTTAAAAGTTAATTTTTGGTCAAGTACTAATCCAAGATATTTCACTTGGTTTGACCAGGAAATTGGAACTCCGTTCATAGTGACTATGTGACTACTACTACACAGTTCGAAAAAGTAGTGTAAATTTCTGTTCAATATAATGCACATAAATGGAGCGTCACATATCATATACGTTTACATTATATATCATGTAAATTTCTGACACATTTCATGCAAAGTAGTAAATATTGTATGCAAAAGCCCATCTTTGTAAACAACATTGTTTGCAAGTTGCTCGGTTGTGTGAGATGAAATACAAGTTTACGTGAATGAATGTTTACATCACAATTAAAATTCAGATTTTTTATCTGTGTAGGTTTCAGAAACGAAGCTTTAGGCTTATGTGGAAATATTATAAGTTGAGTTTTGGAAGCGTTGGGAGAAATCTTCCATTTTTGTAAATAAGAAGAGAAAATATCTAAACTTTTCTGCAGTCTGCTGCAAATAACACGAAGACTTCTTCCTTTAGCGGAAATGCCTGTGTCATCAGCGAACAAAGATTTGTGGCAACCCTGAGGCAAATTAGGGAGGTCCGAAGTGAAAATGTTATACAATATAGTCCCAAGAATGCTACCCTGAGGAACTCCTGCTCTAACAGGTAGTCGATCAGATTTGGAATATTGATAATTTACCTGCAGATTTCTGTCAGTTAAATAATTTTGAACCAATTTCATAATATAAAGTGAAAAATTAAACTCTTTCAATTTTGCAATCAAACCTTCATGCCAAACACTGTCGAATGCTTTTTCTATGTCTAGAAGAGCAACTCCAGTTGAGTGGCCTTCAGATTGGTTTGAACGAATTAAATTGGTAACTCATAAGAGTTGATGAGTAGTTGAATGCCCATGGCGAAATCCAAACTGCTCATCTGCGAAAATTGAGTTCGTATTGATGTGAAGCATCGTCCTTTTTAAAATTATCTTTTCAAAAAGTTTACTTATTGAAGAAAGCAAACTTATTGGACTGTAGCTAGAAGCTTCAGCTGGATTTTTATCCGACTTCAAAATTGGGACATTTTTTGCGTTTTTACATTTATCAAGAAAGTATGCCAAATGGAAACATCTGTTAAATAATTTTACCGAGAAAGACAAGGTGCTCTCTGGGAGTTTTTTGATGAGGATATAGCTTACATCCTCAGCTTTCATATTATGAAACTTTTTAGACATAGATCTTACTTCGTCCAAATCAGTCGCCCAGGAATCATCAAACATATTTTCCTGAGAGAAAATATACAGTTAATCCCGAGCAACCTGATTCTCAATGGGACTAGTAAGACCCACACTGAAATTATGGGAACTCTCGAATTGCTTAGCAAGTTTCTGAGTTTTTTCCAAAGGGTTGCTGCATATATTATGTCACGCTCTATGGGGGGAGGGGGGATCTAAGATTTTGTGACGAGCAATGCATTAGGTATAGGAAAAACGTCACTATTGCGAGGGGGAGTGTGACATAATTAATGCATGGGCCCAAATTCACGATCAAAATTTGAACACCACCTTTAAGCGCTGGAATAGGCTTTGGAGGTTTTTTCAAAATTTTTAGGAGCATCCAAAAGGATTTGGAACTCGGATCTAATTTCGAAACACTATTTTCAAAAGTTTTGATCCTCAGGGCAGAGAATCGTTTTTTAATTTGTTTTTGCAAATCCCGCCAGATAACTTTCATGGCAGGAGTGCGTGTTCTTTGTTATTGTCTCCTACGGACATTTTTAAGACGGATCAAGAGCTGAAGATCGTCGTCTATTATAATTGAATCGAATTTAACCTCGCATTTTGGTACTGAGGCAGCTCTTGCTTCAACTATAGAAGTAGTCAGAGATTCAAGAGCATAATTAATTTCATCTTTGGTTTGCAAAGAAAAGTTTGGATCGAAGTTATATTCCATAAATGTTCGATATTGCTCCCATTCAGCCCTATGGTAATTGAAAGTAGAGCTGTTGGGATTAGAAATTATTTCTTGGGATATTTCAAAAGTTACTGGAAGGTGATCAGAACCGAAGTCAGCACGGGTAACCAATTGCCTACAAAGATGACATGAATCAGTTAAGACCAAATCAATAGTTGAGGGATTTCTTGCAGAAGAAAAGCATGTTGGGCTGTTTGGATATTGAATAGTGTAATAACCTGCAGAACAATTATCAAACAGAATATTACCATTGGAATTGCTTTGAGCATTATTCCATGAGCGGTGTTTTGCATTAAAATCACCAATAATGAAGAATTTATACCTAGGACGGGTAAGTTTCTGAAGCTCACCCTTGAGAAAATTCTTTTGCTGGCCTACGCATTGGAATGGCAAATAGGCAGCTATAAACGTAAGTTGTCCAAATTTTGTTTCAAAAACTTTGGTTTCAAATGAAGAAAGAATTTTATGTTTGATTCGTCTATTAACAATGATGGCAACGCCACCACAGGGTCCATCAAGACGATCGTTTCTATAAACGTAATAATTTGCGTCCCTCTTAACCTTATGGTCAGGTATAAGGAACGTTTCAGTTATAACGACAATATGCACTTTATGAACTCTCAAAAAGTTAAATAGCTCGTCTTCATTATCTTTAAGAGATCGAGCATTCCAATTTAAAATATTTAATGCTTTAAAATCCATTACTGTCATGTTTGAATAGCATCAAACATGGAGTTAGATTTAAGCATATCAGAAATCATGTTAATTAATGATTTCTGCAAAAAATCCATTTCCGTTAGAATTACGTTGGTTAGTATTTTGATTTTTATCCTTTGCAATAGCAGCATAGGTAGCTCCATTTACTCGCTGAACATTTTTAGCAGCGAGGGGAGTATTTATAGATGAAGAATTTGAAGCAGGGGTGCTATTTGTATCTACGGGTACGAATGTAGAATTTGTTCCTCGCTGACCGTTGTTAACAGCAGAGGAATTTGTACCTGGTCGGAAACTTGGAGCGTTTCCTACCTGTCGCTTAGAACGAGATTGTAGGATCGCTTTGCGAGTCTTAAATTCCCAAAAATTGGATTTGTGGTTTTCACCACAATTTGAACATTTAAATTTCTTAGGATCATCCTTCACAGGACAGTCGTCCTTTGCGTGACAGGAATCACCACAATTCATGCATTTAACTGGCATGTAGCAATTGTTTATTCCGTGACCCCATCCCTGGCACTTATGGCACTGAGTGAGGTTTTGGAAATTTCCTCCAGTCGAGTCATAGGCTAATTTTTACTAATGCCTTAAGGTTGTTTAGTTCACTAGACTTGAAGTGAACTAAATAAAAATATTGTTCTTCTCTAGCGCAAAGCATAATCGTTTGCGTGAGCTACGTACGTGTGCATGACAATCTAAATTCAAGCTGAACATTGCATTGGGTCCTAGGTGCCATTGATGGATTCTCTTCGTCGACTTCCTCTTTGTATTCCCACGGCCATGTAAATATATTATCAGGTATTTTTGGAACACAGATCGATAAAAGAAGCTAATATGACAAACACAACAAGAAACAGTTATGTGCTCAAGTTATTAACGAAAGAGAAGGAGGAGAATCGATCATGCTTGGGACCCAATGTAGAGTCCAGCTTGAATTCATCCCCGCACGCTAGAAGGGCTAGATCTAAGAGAAGAGGTGACTATACGGGGGCGAAAATGAACCACTTTTCTGTCAAACGTGAACCAGCTCCTGATTGGCCGATTTCATGTGCGTAAGATAGAGATAGAGATAGATAAAGATAGAGATAGAGATAGAAATAAAAGAGGAAGAAGCCAATTGTCACCTCTTCCTCTTAGGGCTAGATGCAGAAACATATGGAAGCAAAACTCTGCTACCAGAACGACGGTTGATTCATAACATTCTAATATTTATCAATTTTACATATTAAAGTTCATTTCAGTTTTCTAGAATATTTTTTTTTTTAAATATGTTTTATCGTAATCGATTGATAATTTGGTACATCTTCAATTTAAACGAGTTCGGTGATTATTTTCTATTGTCGTTTTAATGTTTTTATTTTAGACAAGAATAGAAACTCTTCAACTGAGTAACCGGTGGCATCATCCTTTACCTTAATATAATTTTCAATAATCTGGTTGTATCTCAATTGTAAAATTTTCTACTTGGCACTTTGCAGAGTCTTTGAGTTTGGAAACTAATTTAAATTGGTTTCTTGACTCGGAGATTCTGTGGGGTGTCAAGCAGAAAATTTACAATATTCTGTTTTCGAACTTTCAGTTCTGTCCTCTCAGATAAATAGTAGACTAATCCGTGTTTCATGTTTGAACTTTGTTCTTTTCACTTAACTATTATTATTAATTTATTTATTATTTTTCTCCATTAAAATTCAAAGCGTAAAAAGGACTTCATGTGTTGTCCATGGGGTGGCTGTAGATAACTCGTATTTTAAAACTTTTGTTGAAGTATTCAACAAAAAAGCAATATGAATTGGTAAACTAAATAGAATTGCGTAGGCATAGGAAAATAACCAGGTACTCGCAGCAGAATAGCAGAACGTATTTGATACCAGCATAGTTTATTTTCAACTCTTTGTCGAAACGTCAACAGATCACGACTTCCTTTTTGCAGCTCACTTTCGAACTAGTCATAAAATATCTTCATGCTCATGTTATTTTCATCCAGTTACTTAATCCTTATACTTTACTTTTCAGCAGCATAATCCTAACACTATTTTTATTTAGGTAGCGGGCAACATCAAAGGATGAACTCTGGTTTCTAGCTTTATTACTGACTTATTTAAGAAACATAATGATTGCAACGCTGACTGGGCGTAACCTATGGCATACCTTTCAACTAAAAAAATCCTAAATTCCTGTGACATTTATGAGGGGTCGTAGAGTTTTCTGCGCCTCTCTTAAGTAATTGTTGGACTAACATTCCTTCCCTATCCGCACCAGTTGCAAGGACGTGGTCTGCTGCTGGAAGGAGAAACATCCTTTGTCTAAGAGGTAGTGATTACTCTCAAATTACCATCTAACAGTACCAGGTGGATCTTAACAGTAGTTTGGAGTTCGTACCACCTATGAATTTGTGCAGCGTGTTCTATACTATGCTATGCTATGATATTTATGTTACATCTCTTTCGTCAAATCAAATATTTTCAATATCTATTAAATTATCATTTATAACAATAAACAGTTGAAGATGCTCGACTAAAGTGGTAATTTTTATTCGATAGATGAGGAGATGCAAGTATAGAGTTGATAGTTCCGTTAGAGAACGGCAGTGTGAAAATTGTATATAGAGAGTAGAAAGCGAGCAAGGACAACAAACGAAAAAAAAAGCGAAATTCAGCTCAATCAAACGTACTTTCGAACTTTTCAGTCTCAGAGCACTTTTTTAATTCCTCTGTTCGGGACATAACACTACTGGGACCAGTAAATTGATCTATTGTAGTATATCCCGTGTCATTAGTTTAGTGCATATCGTATTACTCCATCACTATTAAGAAATGATGAAGTATTCGATTTTTTACAGTTGCCACTCTTGCATTTATCGCAAGGATCCGACTCTAATTGAAAGGTCCCGCTATTTATACGCTTCGGAGTGTTGAAACACCCTCCAAAGGCGCGCCCCTTTGTCAGTCAAAATTGGATTCCTTAGCAACAAAGTTAAGGAATGACACCGATAATGACCATGCATCAGAACCCTAGGCTTAACCACTTTAAACTAGAGAACAACGAATGATTAGGAATCACATAGATGAAGACTAACTAACTCATGTTTTCCTTGTTTCAAGATCATCCTCGGTAGACAAAGCCGAGTCTTGTCACTATCAACAAGGCATAAAAAGTAACAAGGACTAAGATGTGTTTCTTGTATTACGGAAAAATCCTGTTCCCCTAGTTTGAAGTAGTCAGGACTAGGAATCGGTGGTAGATCTTACATCCCGTAACGTACCACGAAAAGGTGATCTACCCACGTTACGGGGCCTCGGAGCACTTAATTTTAAATGACATGTTTGTTTACGTCTCATCCTTTATGTCAAATATGGGTTCCGTCACGTGTAAGATTAGGTATTTCTAAGTGTGTAAATTATCGTTTGGCTGAAAAGACTGCTGCAGAAAATGCAGAAAATTCTAGTTCACTTTTTTGTCAAGATTCACCTAAAAAACCGTCAAAGCATATCATCAGCTTAATTTCACCCGATGTCAAATATTTTCCCCCACGAGGGTACTGCAAGGGTTCCCGCGAGTATAATCCAATACTTCGTTTGGCAGCAAGTCAGGTTGGATTTTCATCCTCTGTCCTCCCCATCTCCACCAAACCTTTACTAATCATCATCCTGCACCACACGCACCACTCGCATATGTGATCAGACTGCCACTGACTATTCTTGCTGCCGTCCGTCCGTCCGCCTGCCAACTCCTACTCAAGGAGATGATATTCCGATACTTACTCAGTATACCTACAGACTACATATATTCACATGTTCTCATTTTCTTTTCCAACCGCTGTCTCTTTCACAGCCCACCCACCCGGCGGCGGTGGCGGAAGAGCCTGGTGCTGGTGGATGCTGCTGCGGCTAACCGCCACGTTCGTCCTGACATTGGCGCTGACGACGATGACGCTGCGGAGCACCAGCAGCCGGCTGTAATATATATCCTCCATCCCGGGAATGAGCCAATTTCGGTGAGCAACCTGTGCGCGGGGCGGGGGAGGGAGGGGGCGCGGAGGCACTGGCTTGATTTCTGAGCCACGCGGGATTTTTCTTTCATTTCATCATGTGTGCGCGTTTCGTTTCATTCGTTCGTACCGTGTATAAGTAGATAAGGGCAAGGGGAGGGCCTCGGCGAAACTCGATTAAACTTTTGCGGCTTTTCGGAATCTTTTTTTTTTTTCATCTTCCGGGCAAGTAAACGGGCAGAAAACGAATAAAACAAAGGAAATTATGTGGGCTGGTATTCGCCTGCTTGGGGTCTGCGACGGGTGAAGAGAGTGAAACAGTTGAAGATTTTCGACAAAGTCGTTAAAGCTGCTTGAAGTATGTGATAACCTGACAGTGACATATGGTGATGGGTAGGGTGCGTGGTGGGGAGGGGGAAGGCAGGCGAGCTCGAAATTAGAATGGAATACGAAGTTGTTCCGGCTACGGCTCAAGAGGATTACACCGACGATGATGACAGAAGGTTAAATTGGGAAAGCGTACGTGCACGATGAGTACTATAAGAGAATGGGATACTGTGGGGGGAAGGTCCTTAGATGAGTGACTAACAGGATTAAATAACTCGGAAATATTACTGCTTCTATCGTAGTATAAACATTGAAGTCCATAATATTTTGGACCATAAATGATCAAGTTTTCGATCAGGTGATCAACCAAATTTTCTAAACAACGTTACTTACCTTACCATTCAGGCTCTAATTCATGGTCTACATCGTTGCAATCTGTAATTTTCTCTGGCAACGAATGGAGCAACTTTTTCGTGTGTTGAACTGAACTGGTCGAGATTCAGCCACTTTTTGTATTACTGAAACTCTTGAGCCCAGTTCTGTCACATATGCAGAAGCATTATTGTACGCACTGTTTTGTTTAAGTTTAGAATATGATAATAAGGCACACTTTATGTCGAGTGTGCAACAACAAACTGCTTAAACCCACGCGAGCGTGTACAAATAAGATTGGCCACAAGGGTCCGCGTGGCTTGAAAACGAACGAGAGCAGAAAATTGGATTGCAACACGAGAATGTATACACGAGCAACAAGTAGTCTTCCGGTCATCTCTCACCAACAAAAGTGTATTCGTGAAAACCATCAGACGAGTGGCTGCTGGACCGTCGGACAACGAAGTCGTCGCGGAGAGTGCGGTGCTGTTTGATCCTGAGCATCGTCAGTGGACTTCGGTGGAATTCAACGCCTAGAAAATTCGGGCACAAAAGTGAAGGACTTGCCACTGACGAGCCGCACAGCATAGGACCGAGGGAGAAAAACGGGCTCGCCGTAGCCGCCATCAGATCGAGACGAAAAGACGATTGGAGGTTAGTAAAACAGTTTCCGCTTACGGGAGACCAATCCTGACTAAAGCTTTTTCAAGTAGCACCACACTGGAGGAAGCAGGTCGAAGCACCGTCGAAACGACCGAAAGATTGCGAGCGCATAAGAGCCGACCGAGGAGTGGATCTTCCCTGCTGCGTCACGGCATCGCAAAGCTGGGAGTCGGCCATTGGACACAAAAAAAAAGCCTTCCCAAGGAAGTAGGTTCTCCCAGATGTTGATGTTGTCCACGAAGGCTGACCTAGTGGCGTCTCAGGCCTTTTTATCAATTTAATTGCAGCTTCGAACCCTTCCAAATCGTGCAAGCCAATCCGGACAGTCTGCGATTCTTGATCGCGTCGACGGCATCGATTTCGACGCTCAACGAGCAGTGCGGCGGCAGCAAAGGCAGCGAAGCGCAACCCACACGCATACAACAACGAGCCAGCATTCTTTTAGGTGGCCCCATCGAGTCGGGTAACCGAACGAATCTCGGGCCTATTTCATCCGTGGCCGATTGGCACATCAGGCCGACGTAGTCCCTCGTATGCACATGTGGAGCATTGTTCAACACTAGTAGGACGTGTCGGGTGCGTGTGTAGTGTCCCAGCGTGACTGAAATCGAGCGGTGGTAAGGGTGCACCCAGCCGAAACAGTGAGTAGGAAATGAAGAGAACCGTGCAATTGAACGAAAAAGAAAACTTGAACCAGAAGGTAGGACAGTTTGAGGAATTAGGCAAAAGAGGAATAGTCAAGGGAAAGATGGAAGGGAGGAATAAATGTACCTAAAATGATAAGCCCGTTCTTGATTTCGTTGGTGCACATTCCTCCAGTGTTTGCGTTCTAGCCCATTCATAGGTAGTCTGCTCTACTGCAACGAAAATAAATACGAAGTTTCAATGCTAATCTCAAAGTTACATATAGTATTTCAAGAGAGAGTTTCAAGGTTGTTCGAGTAATCTTAAGAGAATTGAGAAGACTTCCTAGGCAATTCTGAGGACCATTTCATGGAATTTTCAGAACTCAAGAAAATTCTGAGAGGAGTATAGAGTGAATTCCGAAGATTATTCTATGGGAATTTTAGAAGAATACTTAGTGAATACTGAGGAGCAGTGTTGGCTAAAATCAAGATCAGAAAATCAAAAACAGCTATCTTTCAAGATCAATATCACCTAAAATCACAGGCACCAATATCACAAGCCATCATCACCACGAAAATCACACGTGATTTTCGACCAATATCAGTGATTTCCGATTCCGAAAATCAACCAGCATCAATATCAGTCAAAATCAAAATCATCGAAAATCATAGCATTAGAAGATTTGTTAAATTCTAGAGTTTGAGGCATTTCGAATTTCAAGTCAACATTCTGGATGAAATTAAAATGGTGGATTTCAACCTAAGATGGCTTCCACAAACCCAAGATGGCGGACCAAAATCCAATATGGCGCCCTCTGGATAGCAAATATGCATCTAAACCCATGCAATATGGGTATCTACGGAATGGGCTCGATGAGTGGAAGTGGTAAATTGACATCCACCGCCATTTTGGAATTCAAGATGGTTGACCAAAATCTAGTATGGCGGCCCCCGACAGGGAATATGCATCTAAACCCATGCAATATGGATATCTGGGGCGCGGTGGATGTCGATTTTTCACTTCTACTCATTTAGCCCATTTCATAGATACCCATATTGCATGGGTTTAAAGCCCGATTCAAAGTAAATTTGGACGCATTCAAATGACCATAACTCAAGAACTAAACAACATACACGTTTAATCAAAACGTCAAACAAAAGGGTATTTACTCAGCTTTCAAACGATATATAACAAGTTATTACACATCACCGTTTCGAACGAACTGTCGCACTTTACTTGTGATCGATGCCATCAGGATCTGCACAGTCGCTGGGGACACAGTACCAGTGAACATATTCCACTTTAAACGCATTTGTTGTGCATTTGTCACTTCTTTACCGCATCCTCGAAGTTTTCGCTTGACAATTGCCCAATATTTTTCGATCGGTCTGAACTCAGGGCAATTCGGAGGATTAATCTCTTTGGCGACGAAATTAACATTATTTTCAGCATACCATTCTAGTACCTCCTTAGAATAGTGGCAGCTCGCTAGATCCGGCCAAAACATAACGTTGGTCTTGTGTTGCCGAATGAAGGGTAAAATCCGCTTTTTCGGACACTCTTTAATGTAAACCTTCGACGTCATTGTGTGAGATGTGATGAAAACCTTGGTTTTAAGGCCACAACTGCCACAACTTCCTGATTTCTTGTCAAATCATTAGTTTCCTAGCAAGCTTATCAGCAAAAACAAATTTATACTTGGAAAGGACATCCCCACGACCAGTTGCCAGGTAAAATTTTCGTCCGGGGATTTGTTTATAATGCGTTTTGACGTATGTTTCGTCATCCATTAAAATACAGCCATCAAATTTCGTCAAAACTTCGACAGTGAGCAGGCATAAGGGCCTATACGCGATGATCGATTCTCTTCGTCGATTTTCTCTTTTGTTAAGAACTCGCTAGATTTAACGATTCTCGGTGCGTTTGCTGTTGCTTTTGATAGCCAATACAACCTTTTGCTACTCTGCATTGAACAAATTCTAGAAAATTGTTTTGCTTAGCTGTAGCAATGCAAAAAGAAAATCGATGAAGAGAATCGATCATCGCGTATTCGCCCTTATGCATGCTCACTGTCGACTTGTTCGTATAGTAATCGTGCTCACTTTTTGGCCACTAAATTTTGTTTCAGAGAGCAATTCGGATGCCAAATCACGTATGGAGACACCTGGGTTGCTTTTCACGTACCTCAACACCTTTCTCCTCAGCTCTTTGTCCCTAGTGCCACTTTTATGATAGATGCGCTGTGCTCTATCCACACTCAGAGTATCCTTGTAACGTTTGATTACAAGACTCACCGTTGACTTTGGGAATTTTAACAATTTTGCTATTTTTGAGGTAGACCACGAAGAGTTCTCTAGATGTTAGTGCATAATTAATTTTCTTTTCTCAAGTTCCATGATCCGTAATTTCGGGATGCGTCAATCAATCGAGAAAAAGTTTTCACCAATTTATTCGTCAATGAAACATCAACAATTGTCTGTCAAACATATTTTGTTCCAACCAACAGGGGCGCGTCGGTGTATTAAACCGTGCGTCCAGATTTACTTTGAATCGAGCTTTAAATGCATATCGCTGTTCGGAGGCCGCCATGTTGGATTTTGGTTCCCATTTTGGATTCCAAAATGGCGGCGGAAGTCGATTTTCCACTTTTACTCATCGAGCCCATTCCATAGATACTCATATTATATGGGTTTAGATGCATATACGCTGTCCGGGGGCCGCCATACTGGATTTTGGTTAGCCATATTGGATTCCAAAATGGCGGTGGATGTTGGTTTTTTACTTTGTCTGTAATACCAAGCTATGGATTTTCCGTTTGGTTAATTAGTTACCTCAAAATCAGCTAAGGTTAAAATCAACCTTGATGTTCTGCTTTGTGATTTTGCTACTCTCAAGATCAGGTAAAATAATATCAGCCGTGATTTTTTGTTTGTGATTTTGCTGATATCAGTGACAGCAGTGATTTTCGGCAGTTCCTGATTT